TCTGGCGGGATTAAATGAGTAACACGTGCGAAGTGCCTGGCACTCACCGGGTGGCTCCCGCCTGCGATCAATCGCTCATGGGAGTTCGGAGACGAGAGCCGCTGCCCCGTTCAAGAGGCGCGGACTTCTGAGAGGCTTATGCCAAGAAGTTCATTTTAAAAAACGTCCCTCAATACATGGGGTCGTGGGGAACTTTCTGCCGCTACGGACAGGTGCGAGGTGACTGCGAGCAGCTCTGTTTCTCGGTTGGTGATGTGGGTCCCCTGCACCTGCAGACCCCGTGCAGCGCGTTGGACCCGTCCCGGGGACGGCACCCGGACCCCGGTCCCCTGGCCGCCGGAGGCGGACCCCTGAGCTGCTGCGGATGCGTCTGGCTCGGCCGCAGCGGACAGGCAGCACCTCGTTGCTTCTGACACAGCTTCAGGGCAGTCCCACGTCGTGGGCGTTCCAGAGACGCGGCCAAGGGACCGGGGTTCCCGACGGAGACGCCTCTCGCCCTTAAGGCTTTACTTTCTCAGCAGAAGCAGCGGGCTCTCCCCGCATGGACCCAGCATCGCCAGCAGACGCCAACCTGGAACGCTCGCTGGAGACACCTGGGGACCTCCAGGGGCCGCTGACGTGGGGGCCCCCACCACCCGGTCCTCTCCGGTCTCCGCGGCTCCCTTTAGTTCATTTTCAGGTTCGGACTTGGGACCCGCGCCACCCACTCCGGCCCGATTCCGGGGAGACGCTGCCACCCAGTGGCCGCTGTGGGCACTACAGCGATGACTGGCCTGGCCTTTGTCCCTCAAATTCCGGGTTTTATTTGGCAAAGCTGGGACCTCCTTCCCCGATGTTCCCGCTGACCGCGCTGACGGCAGCGTCTAGGCCCTCAGGTGGAAGCGTTTCTTCGCTCAGTGGGAAGACCACAAACGGGCCTTAATAAAACCCATAAATTTATTTAGATTTTTTAAAAAAATATTTGGGTAAAAGATGTTTGGGCAGAGGCATTTAATTTGTAAACATTAAAAGTAAAAGCAGAAACTCACTGCTCCGAGACCTGGGAGGAAGGGCTCGCGGGAGGATTCGGCGCCTCCAGCGGCACCATCCGCGCAGCCGACCGCCGGCGCCCGGGGGCCAAGCCACCTGCTGTACGGCTGCCGTCCCCCCAGGTCAGCGGACTCCGCGGCGGTACCTCTGGAAAGCCCCACGCGGGTTCCCGTCCCAGAAAGACGCCTTCGCACGCGGCACGTCAGCTCTGCTGCTATAACCAGCTCCCCGCCCACGGGAACGCCTATAAAGCCAGGGGGGAGCTGCAAGGCAGTTCAGCCTTTGTCTCCCTTGTCCTCCGGTGTCCCCGGAAGCGGAGCTGGCCCACCGGAGAAGGGGTCTCCCCGAGGGGCCTCCGGAGGCGGCGGCCCCGTCAGAGTCTCTGCTGCCACCAACAGGGCAGGCGTCCTGAGGCCGCGCTCCGTCCGCACCGCGAGCTCGGGGCGCCTGACCCTGACTCAGCGAGTGAACCCCGCCCGACTCTTCAGGGACACACCAGCCGCACAGAACTCAACAGCGGTGGCTGCCACGGCGGCGTTTCGGGGTGGAGCGCTCCAGCCCCGGACGTGGGGAGCGCCCCGCGGGGGAGGCGGCCGCGCGCACACACCGGGTGGCCCAGCCGTGGTGTGTCCCGCGGCCCGCGGCAGCGAAGCCGCGTGGCGGTCATCCCTGGGCGTGCGGCTCCTCCTTCCGAAGCTGCGCGCTTGACTCCCGGGCGGGCTTTCAGGCATCTACCGATCTTCCCCTTTCTCCTCGTTCTGACGAGGAAACACGCAACGTTCGATGCCAGTCACTCGGGAGAGCTGTTACCGCTTCTCCTGGTCCCCCTGTCGTCGGCCAGGGCTTCGAGGGGCCCCCCCCCCGGGCTGGGCTGGGCGGGGCGGAGCCTGGCATCTGGGAGGGAGTGCGGAGAACTCGGTTTCGATTCGCGTACAGGCTCACCAAGTTCAACTATAGCACCGTTACCCCAGTCAACACGTGTCTGAAATAACGGGCAGTGGAGAAGAGTCTCCGCAGGGAGACGCGCAGGCCAGTCTGGGGGCGCCCGCCCGGGGAGCGGGGAGGAGACGGGAGGCAGGGCCGGCCGCCCCTCCAGGGGGGGTTCTGGTCCTGTGCCCCCGCCCCCGTCTTTCCTCGGAAGCGGCTTTGGCAGCCGAGGGCACTGGCTCCGATGCTGCTCTCACCGCACCCCACCCCCCCCGACCCCCGGCCCGGGCCAGCGACCCGCCCGAGGAGCCCTGCGCAGAGGCTGCCGGGAGCCCTTCCGGAAGCGGCTTTGCGTGGACGCGTTCGTCCCGGGCCGAGCAGGGGCCGGGCCGGGCCGGGGCCGCGTGTCCGGGAGAAGCCGCAGGTGGGCTCTCAGCCTCCCCCGTCCCAGGCTCCGGCCCTTAGGAGGGGCTCCCAGCTTGGGGTCGTCCCCCGTGGACTCAGAGCGGCCCCACCCAGTCAGAGCCGCACCAGGACATCCTCACTGGCACCGGGCCCGCCCAGTCGGAACCGTAGTTTAACGGGGAAGCCTCGTTTGCGTAACACGGGAGTCGCTGGGAGCGTGGGCCTGAACGCCGGCCCCGCGCGCCCTCTTCGCCTCCGGGAGCACGGCGCAGGCTGCCGCCGGCGGCGCCATCGCCCGGGGTGCAGGCTGCCGCCCGAATGCCGTCTCTCCTCTCCCTCCAGGGCCTCTGGGGCTCGTTTGCAGCACCCACCTTCTCTTAACTGAACCCAACTACGGGCCGCGTCCCCCTTGTGGTAAACGGATCCTTCCTTCCCACGGTTAGAGGGTTATGGGTGCGGGGCCCGGCCGCTGTGAGCACGCGAACCAGCCACCTGACGGGGGGAGGGGCAAGGGAGACAGGTTTACAGCTGTTCGAACGGAGAACTACAAACTACTGAGTAACAACACGAAACTAGGCGCTGTCCTGCAGGCCCACAACGGCAGGCCCACTGCGTATTCGCGGAGAAGCCCAGGCGGACCGTGGGGAGCGCGCGTCCTTCCCCGGCGCCCACGCGGACACCTGCCGCCGCCGGCCCCGCTCGCGCCTGCGCTGTGTGCGCTCGAGCTCGGACGGCCCGGGAGGCGGTGTCGCTCCGCTTTGCGCGTGAGGACGGCACACCCCTTAGACCGGCCGGTTCTAAGCCCACCCTGTTGCTAGGCAGCCGGGCTGGGGGCTCCGCCCCGGGGGCTTGAGACGCGTCAGCCCGCACCGCTTGTGCCCTTGCTGCTGACAGCACGTGGGGAGCGCCGATCCCGGACGCGCCAACGAGAAAGGGCAGACGTTTCTCTTTTAATCCAAGAAGTTGTCATGATGGTATCAACTTCTTAGTGTTTCCTAGTGACGTGTTGACTGGCCGCACCGCGACAGCTACCAAGGCAGAGCTATGAGAGCAACCGAGTCAGGAATAAAGGAAATTTCAGAACCACCAGCGAAACAGCAACCTGAGGCCGAGAGACAGTTCTGCGGCTGACAAGCTTTATTAAAAAGTGTTCTCTTTGTGGCACTTAGTAGTGCACATGATTCTGGTAGCAAATATATTCTATACCCTTCATTTACAAGCTGTTTTACTTGAGAGTATAAATATATGTATAGATACATTTTACAAAGACACTAACTAGTTTCTGACCGTGTGGTAACAGAGTAAAGGTTAAATCCTGAATATGAAGCTGAAAACTGCCGGCTGGTCCTCCTGCAGGTCCGTGGAGCAGGTGCGGCTTCAGGCAAAGCCCTTGCACGCGCAGAGCCAGCACACGTGCGTACACACAGACTGCGAGGGGAACGCAAGCCCAAACGCCACACCCAGAACGAAAAAAGCAAGGCGCTGCCCCCGCCCCCCGTCCCCCACGCTGCGGTCAAGCACCTGCGGGCCCGGCGTGCGGCTCGTGGGCGCTGCGGTGACTCCCCGCCCCGTGTCTTGCACAAGCGTCCCCGACAAGGACATCCGCACACGTGTTCCCGACGTGAGCACCCGTCCCCGCCGGCCGCCCCGAACGTGCACCGGCGCCGCCCGCAGGGTCAGCGGTTGGAGAACCGTCCTCCAGGCGCTGCTCGGGGTCACCCAGCGCATCGCCAAGCGGCTTTTCCCATTTCGCTCAGGCTTGTGGTGCGAAGCGTCACGCTGGTTCCTTAGCGCAAGGCCCCCAAACTAGAACATCATTTTCATGACTTGATTGTAGGTACAAAGGTTTCTAAAAACGGGAGAGCAGCAGCAGATCCTCCATCTGTATCAAATCCCGTGCACACACTGCCCTTACACCTTCAGCACACGAGCCGGTGAAGGCACAGTCCAGCCTGGGCCTGGCCGCCGGTCCGAGAGCCGGGCGTGGCTCTGGAGGCGCGTGGGGGCGGCCTGCACCCGCCTGCACCCTGCTCTGGCACACGGGCTGCACAGCACCCTGACGGCCTCGCGCCGCGACCCGGGCGGCAGCAGGAAACGCTGCCTCTGCGCGGAGCCGTGGGCCGGGCGCCAAGCCCGAAGACCGCGGCCTGCCAGCCTCAGCGAGCTCGGCAGCAGGGGAGGTGGGCACGGCAGGAGCGGGTGGCTCAGGGCTCCACGCATCCGGGAAACCACCATTTTCAAACACGCTGGTGAACCAGGCGGGCAGTGCACAGACGTGAAAGGCGCGGACGTGGACCGTGCGGCTGCACGCAGCCGGCAGGGGGTGGGGGGCGCCACTCGCTCGACCCTGACTCCTCGGGTCAGCCTGTTCGCCACCATGTCGCCTATGGGGAACACCTATGGGAACCGGCTCCTAGAGAGATGGGGGGTGTTGGGGGGCACATAGGTGGGGGGGGATCGGGGGATGTCCGGGTTCTGAACGCAGACGCCCTGCCGTGCTTCGGCCAGGCCCTGCGGGAGGCCCGCAGCGCACGGGCGCCCTGGAAACACTGCCGCCCATCTCCCCGCGCGGCCTGGTCTCCTGCGGAAGGAAGGCGGCCGCCGCGCGCCCAGTCCTGGTCCCCGAGCCCGTGCAGCGCTCACACCCACTGGGTCCTGCTGGGCATGCAGCCCTGTGGGCTCCGTGGGGCACCGGCGGGCAGCTCGTAGACACGCTTGGGGACGCCCCTGAGCCTGCCGGCCTGGGACAGCCGCGGCCCCTCTCTGCCGGCCGGATGGCACGGGCCCCTGGGTTCCGGCGAGGCAGGTCTCTCCTCGGACTCGAAGCAGAGGAGGAGCGAGCGGGCCGCAGATTCCAGGTCCCCGCAGTCCCGGTCACTGCCGGCCACAGAGGCAGCGCCCGCCTCCCCAGCCACGTCCCGGGCCACGTTCCGGGCTGCGCTGCAGATGCTCTCCACGCAGGTCCGGAGGCGGCCCACGTCGCCGCCACACCCTGCCAGGAGGAAGACAAGTTCACCGACCACCCCCGCACCAGGCGGGGGTCTCCCCACGGGCGGCAGGAGACCCTCGTGAAAAGTCTGAGCCAGCGAAGGTGGCTCAGCTTATCTGCTGAGGGAGCGTGCGGCTTCTATTTTAAGGACTGATCACTTCGGGGAAGCGCTCACACACAGCGGGAGGGCGGCCCCCGCGCGAGCGCACGTGGCGGCCGTGAACCTGGAAGGCGGCCTCCGTCGGGCGGGGAGGGGCCGCGACCCTTCCGCTGCCAAAAGCGGACCGCACCGCAGCGCCGTTCGGGTGCGCACCTGCCAGGGCAGCGAGGACGGCTTCGACGGTCTGCTCCAGGCGACACTTCAACTTCAGGAACTCCGAGGCGCATGCAACCACCTTCTCCACCTCTTCGCGCCCGGGATTTTCCTCCTGTGCTTGAATCCCGGGACTTTTCTGTGTGAGTAAGTTAAGATTTGTGAAAACACAGACCAGGCCACAGGGCACTAAGGCTCAGTCAACGCAGCTCTACTGCCAGAATCTTATTCTCAAAGAAGAGACAAGTTTAACTCTACAAGCGAGAGTTACAGATACAGTCCTAGCAGTTGCTGTTTTCAAGAGGAGAACGAATTCTTAATTTATTTTAAGCCAAAGTGTGATCGCCCGTCACAGGAGGAGGGCCGACGGAACAGCACCGCCATTGCCTCGTATCGTAAAGAATAAACGTAATCGTTAAGTTTAACTTTCTATCTGCCCTTTCAAGCCATAAACTTTTCTCGCCCTTTTAACACATGAATTACACACTCAGCTTCTACTTTTCTTTCCACCTGTGACGTGAGAATGAACCATCTGCCCGGCTCCCCCGTATTTAGCAGCTCTGAGCCCGCTGACTACGAAACCCGGGCGCCAGCCTGCCATGACCGCCCAGGCGAAAGCCATTGTCACTAAACCAGGAGCAGCGGGGGCGGAGCACGTTGCTCCCGCTCACCGTCCACACGGCAGCGCGCCCGTTCCCGACCCGGGAAGCGACAGCGTCCAGGAGGACACGCCCAGGGCGGCCCGCGTACCTTGGCCGCGCGGGAGCCCCCGGCCGCAGCTGAGACCTGAGACCCACCCGACTGGTCGGTCCCAGTGAGAGGCGGAAACACCCTGAACGGAGCCCCAGAGACGGCGGCGCAGGGCGCCCCTCACCGTTTTCCACTCGGCGAAGGCGCGCTCCAGGGAGCCAAGGAACGCCAGGGCGCGGGCGCTCGCCTGCCGGGCCACCTGCAGAGGACAGCGAGGCCCATCACACGGGCGGCCTTCCGGAGCCCCGGGGGGCCAGGCGGGGGCGCGCTCCGGTCAAGCTGGGGCCGTCGCCAAGACAAGGGCTGGACAGCTGGCAGGCCAGGCAGCTCCGCCCCAGCTGACCGACTGCCGCAGGACAGAGGGAGGCGGCAGGGACGGCTGGCATGTGGTCACAGCAGGGCTCCAGAAGAGACAGGTCTCCGTGCACAGGCCGAGAAGTAAACGCTTCTCCTCCTCACCCTCTGCCCACCTGTCGTGACTCTCAGTAAAGAAAACCACACAGCGGCAGCGATGCCCGGGCCTGACGTGCGTCCCGTGTTGGGCCGGGGCGTCGAGCAGGCAGGACCCCAGCCCGTGGCCTGTGGGGGCTCCTCGGTGACTGGCTCAGGGCCTGAGGCACGGTGCACGCGTGGCCCCGGGCTGGGAACACGCCCTGCACACCCAGCTGCTCCCCATGGGCCCCCAGGGCGTGACGGTCACAGTGGGGGCGGGAGGGCGTGGCCAGGGGGCCGCCGCCGCCCGGAGCCTTCGCAGGTCTGGGTCTGGGGATGCGGATAAGGGTGTGAACCCCGCGGGCAAACGCTCAGCGGACGGAGGTGCGGTAGTTCGCACTGTTCAGGGGAAAAGCAGAGGCCGAAACAAAGGGGAAAAGAAAGAATGGCCACCAGGGGTCGCTGCCGCTCCACCTGCTGAGGCCTTATCCCGGGCGGACCCGCGGATCCAGCAAAGGGTTAACCAAAGAGGCGGCAGGGCTGGAGAGCAACCTGGGGACAGGTCACCATCACACAGCGACACCAACAGCCTCTTCAACAAAAAATTACCTAACAGAAATTCAAATATTTACATTTATAAAAACCTAATGCATGGAGCCACTCTTTTAAAAATGCACTGCCTCCGCCCCCTGGCACCGCGCGGAACGTCTCCGCTCGCTCACCTGGCCCTGCGGGCGCTGCCGCTGCAGCCTGCGCCCCAGCTCCTCCGCCTGCTGCAGCCCCGAGTCGAGGAGAAGCCGCATCCCCGCGCGCACGCCGGCCCCGACGGCGCCCACGAAGTCCTCCTGGAGCAAGTTCTTAGATATTTCAAAAGTTCATTAAATAACCATTATACTTTCTGTTTATTTTAGGAATTAACACACTCCAAGGTTCTGAAAATCAGCTGAAGCTGGAATAAGAACTGACAGTCCACGAGGGAAGCCAGTGAGCAAGCCTGTCACTTGGGACCCCACGCAGAGCGGAACGTGTCCTCTTCCGTGGGACGCGACGCCGCCAGGGCACAGCAACTCCGGACGCTGCCTCCGCAGCCCGAGCCGCCTCAGCCAGCGGCAGGTTCCCTGAGCTGCCGCGTTCGCCGCCGCTGGCCGGCCAAGCAGGCCCTCCCTGTAGGCCTCTGTCATCGAACCAAAGGCTCGAGAGGTGAGCTGCGGACCCCAAAATCGCTCAGCACAATCCACCTTCGACCAGCTCAGGCTGAAACAACTGTAACTCTTACGGCTAAACGATCAGAGAAGGAGCTGCTTTAAACTACGAACAGGTCCCGTTTAGTGGGACTATCGGCGGAATCGCCCCCCTCGCTCAGGCGCGGCCGCCGGGAGCCAGCGGTGCCCACCCACCTGGTGGCCGGCGCTCACACTGCCACTGTCCTCCAGGGGACGCAGTCGGTCCCCGGTGAGAACCGCCAGCTGTCCCACGAACTTCACAGCTTGTCGTGTGACGTGGGTGGCCCTCTCCTGCGCGTCCTTCACCATCGACGAGATATCTGAACAGCACCCCTGTAAGGTCACGATGGACCAGAACAGCAGACAGGCAAGGTAGCAGGGCAGGGGGACGAAGGAGAGAGAAAATCAACGGGAAGAAAATAAGTCCTGCGTCCACTGACGCGGCGCCCGGGCTCCCTAAATGCCCCGGAGCAGGAGCAGGAGCAGGCCAGCCACGCCGCCCGCGGTGGCAGACGGCTCAGATGCACGCGGCCCCGCCGCCCTGCGGGGCATCACCGCGGGCGGGCGCTTCAGCACAGACGCGGCGACTCGCCGTGACCCGGGACCGGGAACTGGGCGCCACGGTGGCTGCTGCGCCCTTTTCTGGCGACAGCGGCCTGACAGGCGGCTAATGCGTTCTCCTGTGTCAGGGAGAAGGAACAGGAGAGGGTGCGGGAGGGACAGGGGATACCCTCCTAACAAGGCCCGTGCGCCGGCTCGCACACACCCGGGGGGCAGAGGGCATCCCCCGGCCTGCGCTCTGGGACGCGCTGACGACGCGCAACGCCCCCCACAGGTGCGGGCTCCGCCAGCACCTTAGCAGGCATCTTCCCCGGGCTCCGCCCGGGTCCCCTCCGCAGTCCCTCCGCGGAGCCCCTCTCCTAGGGCCACAGGCCTCAACCCCCAAGTCAAGCTCGAAGTGTCCTTCGTGGAGAAGGATAAGCAGACGCCGCAGACCAGAGATGCTGCGGCCTGGCCGGCAGGCCCCGCCTGTTTCCAGGGGAGGCGGCCGCAGACAGGCCGCGCGTGCAGCTCGCCCGAGGATGCAGGGCGGCTCCCCAGGTGCCCACGGGGATCGGAGCTGGGCCGTGTGTGGACCCTGTGCTACGTCGGAACCCTGGGAGCCCACACGGCGCCCCTCCCCTCGTTTCTGCCCCAGGCGGCCCTTGGCCGCGGGCCCCCACTCCCCCACCCGCCACCGGGCTCGGGCCTCCCCGGACCCGCGGTCCCGCCCTCGGGCTCCCCGCCTGCCGGCTCCCATCTGGAGATGCGGACGGGACAAGGTCAGCAGACACCTCACCTGCAGAAACACCTGCAAGCAGCCGCCCAGCTCCTTCACCTCCTGCCGCAGCTCCTCGCCCAGCCTGGCGGCGCTGGGGCAGGGAGCGGCCTCGCCCGGCCAGTGCGCCACGAGCACAGCGAGCCGCCCAAAGGCCCACGCGAGCTGGACCGCACGCGCCTGGGTGGCCCGGTCAGCAGAGAACACTTTGAAAGGAGGAGGAAAATGATCAGAAGGGCCACCTCCAAAGAGAAGGGCTTCCAAGCCCCCACAGACACCCGTCACACGGGACAGGCGTGCAGCGTGACAACGGCCGCTCGAAACCCAGCGCCGCGCGCGGGCACCACCGCGGGGGCGGCTTACGGTCTTCCTGGCTGTCCTCGTCTTGAGCCGCGTGAGCCTGGGAGAGGGCGAGCAGCCCTCGGTGGACTTCGAGGAGGCTGCCCATCAGGCTGTCGGCCGCCGTCTGGTCCGCGTGACTCTCTCCAAGAAGAGCCAGCGACGCACCGATCACGTCTCTGCAGATCCCGGGGAGGAGGGCGCCCGTGGGGCTGGAGCACGCGGAGCCCGGCTTCTCCAGGAGGCCTGTTTCGACAGAAACCGCCGGGTGAGCCGGCCTTCCAGGCCCAGCGCGATCCAGCCAAGGCCCCCGCCCCGCTTGCTGCGGGGTCATCCGTCGGCAGTTCAGAGCGGCCAGGCTCGCTGCGGCACGTCCCGGTTCCTGGGCGCCAGGGTGGAAACGCAGGCCCGTGAGAGCTGGTCGCCCGCCGCCGACGTCCGTCCTCACCGCCAGCCTGAGTGACGGAGAAGGCGACTGTCCCGTGGACCCTCCATTTCCCAGCCTCCTGTACTCACCCCACAGGGAGACCTAAGAAACTGAATCAGCGAAAACACCGGCCGGTCCATAGAACAACAAAGGCCTAACAGAAAGAGGCTGAAGCCAGCAGCTTGCAACAGCCAACGCCTGGCGCCCCGGGAGACGGCTTCCGCGCACTTCCCAGGCACTGTCCAGGCCAGGAGGCGGCGGACGAGCTCAAAGAGCCCCCCGCGAGTCTCGGGGAGGCCTCTGCCCCAGCGACGCTCGAGCACAGAGGCTCTTGCGCAGCAAGCGAGGTTATTTTCTGGACCGGCTCACGGGCGACCAGAAACGGCAAACCGGACGGAGGGCGGAACAGAGCCCAGGGCGGGGACTAGGAAGAGCCCGGAGGAGACAGGAGCTCGGCTTGGGGAGAGGGAGGAGAGGCCGCAAGCCCAAAGCTGCGCGACGGCAGGTGCCCGTCCACGCCACCAGGCCGGCGATGGCGGTCTCCTGGTCGCCGCCTCCCGTCAGCGCTCTCCGCGGAAGAACACAGCGTGTTCCTGCTCCCCGATCCCAGACCCGCGGGAGCCGAGTCTAGACGTGGGTCCCGAGGTGACAGCGAGGGCCGCGCGTGGCCAGCACCGGCGGGGAGCGCGCAGACCGATGATTCCGGTGGCGGCTTCTCTCAAAGGCTTTTTTTAACAGAAGCGATTCTGGAACAGCCGCACGCGGGACCAACCCCAGAGGAGCTCCCGTCCCGTCAGACCCTCCCGCCCCAGGCGACAGCGGGTAACGCCCTGGCTTTTCTCAGGAGCGAGCGATCCTCCCGTGAGCCTGGGCACGCCGTCCACCCTGGAACAGGCCCCGCGGCACGGAGTCTCGCTCGGGGGCAGCGGCCGTTCCTCGCGTCGAGGACACGGAGGTTGGGGATGAAATTATTCGCACAGGGAAGGAATCGCGGGGTCGCAGAGCCGGGACGGCGCTTTTCTCAGAGCGCAGGACGTCTGAGGGAAACATACCTGCCGGCCGCGAAGGGGGTGGGTCCGGGGCGGACGGAGCCTGGACGCCGCGCAGGTAGCCGGAGACCCTCCTGTTCCGTGCCAAGCCCCTGCTCCTGGCGAGGACAAAGGGCGTCCGCGGTCAGCCGCCACGTGAGGCCGCGAGCCCGAGGACACTCGTCGTCAAAGCCTCTGCAGGGAAGGGGTGCGCGTGCGTTCTGCACGGGGACACTTCGTGGAGGGTTCGAGTCACTGGGCTCCCCGAGCAAGACTTTCGGGGAGCGGGGCGCCCGAGGCCCCGAGCAGCGCCCCACGCCTGGCTCCGGGCCCCGCTGAGCTGGCAGCTCGCAGCGGGAGGGAAGTCAGGCGCTAACTCCAGGGGGGGACGGGTGTCGTGAGGGCGCCGCGCAGCGGGGCCGGGGCACCCTGGGCGGGGGCCACCCGGGGCGCGCCATGGGGCACGCGTGCGGGCGGCCCGGCGGGCGTGGGGCAGGGAGCGGAGTCGAGGCGCAGGCACCGGAGTGAGGAGGGGAGCGGCAGAGGCTGGGACAAGGCTGACGTCGCGAGACAACTGTCCTGGGAAGGAGTCTGACCAGGGACACGAACACTGAAATCGATACTCATGACGCCACATGGGTAGCACACGCCCGTGCAGGAGAGGGGACGCCACATGGGTAGCACACGCCCGTGCAGGAGAGGGGACGCCACATGGGTAGCACACGCCCGTGCAGGAGAGGGGACGCCACATGGGTAGTACACGCCCGTGCAGGAGAGGGGATGCCACATGGGTAGCACACGCCCGTGCAGGAGAGGGGACGCCAAGTGGAGGAAGCGGCCCGATCCGCCACCTCTCAGCCGACGACATCGGGTCTCTCCCTCGAACGGGCTGGCTGTCCCACTAGTACCGCTTCTCTACCCGCTCCGGGAACGCGCCCTCCACATCGCCACCTGCCTATGGGTCCTCTAAACTCCGGCTCCCGCCCCCAGGCGGCGCGTCAGCTCGAGCCGGGCCCAGGTCAGCCCTCGCGGCCCCCCAGCGCCTTTCCCTAACGAAGCGCTCGCTACATCGGTCGTGCACGTGTTCAGCGAAAGCACCGCCTGCCATTAACCTGTGTCACACGTGAGCCTTCCCCGCAGATTCCCAGAGGAAACCACGGAGGCAGGGCTGGCGAAGGGGCGGAAGGCCAGCTCGCACCGGGCGCGGTGCTGTCCTGAGTGGGGACGGGGAACGGGTGCGCGTGCAGTGAGGTCTCCCCTGGGAAACCCTGCTCCTTCACCACCTTGAGGGTAAATGACGGACAAACGGTCATCAAGGAAGGGCCCCCTCACGCGCCTCTCAAGAAATTTTTCTCAGCACCCAGGGGATCTTACTTTCAACTGTCAACAGGACGATCAAAATTTACAGGCCGCCAGCCCCGTTTGACGGTGGATCACGTGGCGGCCGCCACCGGCCGGTGGGGGGGAGCGGGCAGCCCCGGGACTGAGACGCAGCCGGGCCTGCCCCCTGCGGCGGCCCGGCCACCAGCGCCCTCGCCCGGCGGGGACTTGCGTGCCCGGCCTCCGTCCGAGAGCAACGCGTTCCCTTTGAATGAGGCTTTCAAACTACAGACGTTCTCAGAAACCTCCCTGCAGACGGAAACACCCAATTCCAGCATCTCAGAACCACTCAGAAAAGTTTTGGTTCTTCAGGGACGATGCAAACTTCTCTTGCTTCCCTGATTGTTAACCTGCCGGTGAGCGAAACCGAGGTGCAGGTCGCCAGCACTCAACAGGCGGAGATTCTAAAGTCCGTCGACAATTACGGCTCTCACTGTGACCCACAATTTACAACGAGGGAGAGAGGACGCCGGGCATCCCCAAATCTGAAGGGACAGTGAGCGGCCGTGCGACACACCCGCCGCGCTGGCCCGCCGGCGGGGGGCTGCGGTGCCCGGCGTCGGCCCCCGGGGCCCGCGCCTGGGCCACCGCCGTGTTCAGCCCCCCCCGGAGGCCCCCGGAGAGGCGGCCGCCCGGCGGTCCGAGGCCGGGATCGCACCCGCCCGTCCTCCCGGCCTGCCGCGCGGCCAGCGACCACGACCGCCACTCACTGGCGGTCCCTCTGCCCTCGTGGGGGCTTCGCCCACGTGCCCTCTCAGCCCCGTACCGGCACCGACGCCCCCGTCAGTCCCGCAGGCGACGCAGTGGAAGCGGCAGCGGCAGCGGCGGTGGCCTCCACACACGACCTCGCTCGGTGATAAGCCCCTCGGGAGTGGATGTGTTACTGTCCCCACTTCATGGATGAGAAAACCGAAGCCCAAGGTGTGACGCCACTTGGCCGCAGCACGCTGAGCAGAGGCCCGAGCCCGGGTCCCTGCGCTGCCCAGGAGGCAGCAGAGCCCCGTCCCCCGGAAGCTCACGGCCTGTTCCAGGGGTGCGCTTTGTGCGGCTCTCAGCTTGAGGCAGAGCTGCTGTGTCCGCCACGCGCAGCACGTGTGTAGGGACTGCTGTGTCCTGGCCACTTCTCACCACAGCCCGCGGTTCATTCCACGCGCAGTGGGTGGGGCCGAAGGGACGGGGCAAGGTGGCTATGAAGTAGTTCCCTCTCTTTGAGATTTTATGAATGAGTTTAAAATAAGTACAGTCGAAAACAAGAAAGGCCTGAAAGTTCTGGAATCCCAAATGGATTCTCAGCTGCAGCTGAAGGCGATGGGGTTGAAAAAGGAAAACCCAGGGTTGAGGGGACAGCGCTGTTCTCTCCTGCACAAGCCGCGCAGCCCTGCGGCCGGGAGGCCAGAGGGTCTCCCCGGGACGGGGCCCAGCGGGCCTGCTGCCTGTGAAAGGGCCGGCGCCCGCCTCGCGGCTCGGGGGCCACAGGGGACCGGCCCAGCGCTGCTCGTCACCCCCTGGTCAGGACGCGCTGCCTCCGGCTCGGGGCCGGCGCCCACCTGCCTGCGCAGCTGCCCCTCCTCCCGAGGCCCGGACCCGGCGCGGCGCGTGCGAGCAGCACGGGGCTCGTTCCGTGTAGTTACCCGGTCCCCGCGGCGGCCACGCCCCACAGGCACAGGGACGTCCCGGGGCCCTCAGACCCGCCGCCCCCCGCCCGCCCGCCCCCCCCCCGCCCCCGCGTCTCAGGAGCCGCTCCTCTCTAGTCACCACCCCCCCCCCCGCCACCCCGGGGAAGGCGGGACGCGGCCCTGCTCCGCTGCTCCCCAGCGTCCCCGGGGCCAGCGAGTCTCCCCCTCCTCTCGGCACCCCGGGCTCGTGGCCGACGGTGGTCCTGCTGAAGCTCCCAACCGGGAAGCGTTTCTCTAAAACGAGGCCTTCGTTCACGGCCCAGGCGAAGCCGCCTGCCTGTCGCCCCGAAGCGTCTGCCGCTGCGCTCGGCAGCGGAGGTCGACGCCGGGCTGGCTCCCCCTTGAGCCGCGTCCCTCCTCGGGGGCCCCGTGTTCGGCTAACCAGCGGCCCCTGTCACTGGCAGACGCCCTCTATCGCTGTGACCCGTTCTCCTGGGCCGCTCGTACCAGCGGGCCGCACCAGCATTCTGTGACTTTCAACAAAGCACCACAAGCAGGCCACGCTCTTGAGAAAGGTCACTTAAAAGTAAGAAGCACTGTCCGTTTTTACGGAACGTTGGACCCATGCCGTTCCGAGCTGCTCTGAAGACTCGCACGGGGAAGCACGGGCACTCCTGTGCCCGTCTGAACCGACAGACAAGCGCGTGCCCCGGGGGCTGCCGCTGAGTCGGTGACGGGCAGCCCCTCTTCCCGCCCGCGTCCCCGCGACGGGCCCCTCAGCACGGCAGACCGCGCTCGCAGGCCACGGAAACGACACCCGTGCACACCCGGGACCCGGGACAAAACGCCGTCACCTCCTTTTGGTCAACGAAGACACGGGGTCACCGGTCAGGTCGGCCTCCCACTCGTCCTCGGGGTCGCAGAAGAGGCTCTCGCTGCGGCTGCCGCAGTCGCTCTGTGGGAAACAGCAGACACGGTTCCTGCTCGTGGTGAGTGTCGAGAGGTCCAGCACTAAGAAAGAAATTCTGAATCCTTCGCTACATTTAAAATACAAAATTAGCAAAACAACAGGTCATCTGACAACGTCTAAACAAGTCACATTCCTAGTCAAATAAAAAAAAAATCATATGAGGCTAGAATTTATATAAAAAGAGAACTACTGCCCTGGCTGGCGGGGCTCAGTGGACTGAGCGCCAGCCTGCGAACCGAAGGGTCGCCAGTTCGATGCCCAGTCAGGGCGCAGGCCTGGGCTGCGGGCCGGGTCCCCCGTTGGGGGCGCACGAGAGGCCACCACATGGGGATGTTTCTCTCCGTCTTTCTCCTTCCCTCTTCTTCTCCCCCGCCAAAATAAACAAAATAAACGTAAAAAGAGATCTACTAATAGAAGCAACAAAAATAAATAACCCAGAAATAATAAACGTGTGATTTAGAAGACAGTAAAAACAAAAAAAGACAATATTAGATTAACTTCTGAGGATTTTAAGACTCCATCGCTTACTGCTTGAACATCCTGATCATGGTAATAATGTATATTGCGATTCCATTAACAAAGTTCTAACAAAAATACTACACAGCGCTTGCTTCAGGACCAGTCCAATTATACGGAAAAGGGAAGAGCATCGCAGCAAGCAGCTCAAAATCGCAGCTCACGCCACACAGGCCAGGCTGCGACGCCTGCTCCAGGGAAGGACTGTCCCAGCGGCCTCACCCAGCCATCTCTCGCCTGACCACATGAGCACCTCAGGGTCGGTGCAGACTACGGGAACGTACTAACACGCAGCAACGCAGAGAAAGCCTGGCCGCCCGCGGCCCCGCCCTGCAGGGGGGCCGGGCTGCCCTCCGCCACGGGCCCTCCTCTAGGAACACGCCGCCGCACACAGCGGCGGCCCTGCCGGTCCTGGCTAAGCGTCCCCCGAACCCGAGCTGGTTCCCGAGCGTGGCGTTCGGATTGGCATCACTGTGCCCACGTCAGACCGGCTCGCAGTTCGCTTCCAAACCACCTTCTCAGGGTCTGGGGGCTCGGGCTGGCGCCAGCCGATCCTTCATCACCGCAAGGCCCCCGTGACGCTTCTGTCTGTCACCTGCGCCGTCCTGGACGGCGCACGGGGCTCGCCTGCTTCCTGGAGCTGCAAAGGGGCTTCCTCATAAACCCGCCTGGGACAAGCTCCTTGTTTTCCTGTATTTATTTATTATCTTCGAGGCTCATTGTTGACAAACTTTTCCCTCTGTTGCAGGGTTACTCATCTACTAAGTCAACTTTCATAATTTTTCTTCTACTAGAAAGTCTCCTTCTAGAAAATTATCAAACTCATTAGCATACAGTGTCACATGTAACGGGACTTTAAAAAGCCTTTATGCTCCTTATTTAAAGGCTGCAGCTCCCACCTAAGGTCCCATGTTCATCCGTCCCAAGAACCAGAGCAGCAGTTTACTAGTTTCCAACTGATCGATTATTGCTTCTATTTTAATGATTCTCGCATTGGCGTTCCTTTGTTTTATTGTATTATTTTCTAGATACAACACACATTTTCCCCACAAAGAAAGAGTCAAATTCTCAGATTCACCAGTTATTAAGTACAAATTAAAACACACTGGTAAAACTGTTAAATGGCAATATTTTTACAATCAAATTTTGAGCATCAAAGTGCGATTTCAAATCCGTATTTGGGGTACAATTTTAGAAGGCGCCAAGATGGGAAATAAGATACTAAAAACGATGGCGCGCCGAGGTACGTTTACGGCCGCGACTGTTGAAAGAGCCAACCGGACACACCTGAAGCGCGGCCCTGGCCCCGCCGGCCACTCCCCGCGGTGCCAGCCGCCCGCGTCCCACTGCGCGCCCTCCTTCAGCAACGTAACTCGAAGGCCACACGACAACAGGCGAACAGAGGCGGCACTAACTTCTGGTGTCGTTATGGTAAAACCAACCAGTAAGACCCCGTCGACCGGAGAAAGCGAATCCACCTGTGAACACTAGCTGGTCCGGGGAACGTGACCGGCCCTTTCTCTGCCAAGGTTTGTCTACAGAGAACGTCGCTTTTATATTTTTTATTTCAAAAGCGCAGAGGGATTTCAGTAATGCCCGCACCTCATAAAGCTCCTTCATCGCGGCGAGCTTCGACTCGAACTTGTCCAGGCTCCAGACGGTGGACACGCCGAGACGCAGGTTGTGCACGCGGACGCGGGCCTCGGCGCCGCAGCCTCCGTCGGACGGCTCGTGCCTGCAAGCACCGCACAAGTGTCACCGCGACGCGCACGCGCGGCCGGCACGCAGGGCTGTCTGCGTCGGGCCAACTTCCGCAGAGTCGGCCCACCGTGTAACCCTTTCTATAGGGAAACGTGTCTGTTATCATGAAACCATGTCTAAAAAAGTGATCAATTTTAAAAAAGCGGGATAAGGGATGGCCCTTTAAAATGGAAAACCTCGATGGATTTTCAAGCCAAAAGGCAGTTAGGAAGCCCTGGGCACAGCTCCGGCCCTTTCACACCCTGGCGGGCTCTCCGCTGAGCGGCCCGCCCGGGCGCGCGCAGGCAGGGTCTGGCGGCCGCGGCCCTGCGCCCACTCCTCCCGCGCCGGCGCCGCGACACCGTGTCTTCAGAGGAGCCGAGAGAAGACCGACTAAGCAACACCAGGGAGGTGAAGTGCCTTCCAGCAAAGAACGACCCTGCGCTCCAGACCGTCGGTCACTCACCTGCCAAACACGTACTGCCCGTGGAGGCGGCTGCTGACGGCGTTGGCCTCCCGCAGCATCAGCGACAACTTCAGGGCGCTCCAGGTCGCCTGCGCTGCCAGGGGACGGGGGACAGCGGACGCGGGGTGAGCGCGGACTCCCGCCCTGGCCGGCAGCCCCAGGGAAGAGGCCTCCGCCAGGCGTCACAGGAACACGGGCCACGCGGGGGGCACCGTCCTGCGCCCTCGCTGGTGAGACGGGGTCCTCTTCCCCCACAATGAGGTCTCCCCCGCGGGCCTGGCGCATACCTGACGCCGACTGGGGTGAAAATGTCACAGGGCGGGAAATGCCAGAGACTACACTTTCCTTTCTGATATTTTCCAAGATTTTCTCTTTTCCCTAGTTGCTAAACAGATACTACAGCCTTACGTATACAAAACCATAATCCTCTTTATTTTGCCTGAAAATTTAAAAGAATGGATACACATGTAACCAGGGTATAAAAACAACAATAAAAAAGAAAACAATTTAGTCCACAATTCCCCTTCCCCTAATTTAAGATTTTACCATAACTATTTTTTATATTGTCCAAACTTATAACCAGCGTTTCCTTCTTTCGGAAGATAAAATTCATTATATATGAACTTGAAAAACCCAGTGCTCATTGCCAGACCAGCGTAGGCCCTGAGAGAAATAAAATATGCACTAGCACAACATATTCCATTATTTCTTGCTGCAGAGAGAAAGTATTCTTAGTTTCGAAGTGATTTAAAGCCAGAAGCCCAGGGAGCGTCTCCCACAACAGCGGGTCTCCCTGTGGGGACAGCCCAAGCCACAGGCCTGTACAGGCGACACTTCACGGGGTGCCGGGCTGGGCCATCCAGGAGCCGGGAGCCCCTGGGTCTCCTCAGTGGGCGAGGGGCAGGGGCAGGGACGCAGAGATCAAACACAGCAGGTCGGTCATGTCTGGAGCCCGATTCAAACAAACCAAGTATTAAAAAAAAGTTTATGGAATTATCCAAGAAATTTGAATATGGGCCAGGTAGTTAATGAGTATAAGAAATTATTAGTATTTTGCCCTGGCTGGTGTGGCTCTGTGGACTGAGCGCCGGCCTGAGAAACAAAGCGTCACCAGTTCAATCCCCAGTCAGGGCACAGGCCTGGGCTGCAGGCCAGGCCCCCAGCAGGGGGCGCACGAGATGTTTCCCTCTCTCCCTCCCTGCCCCTCTGTCTAAAAATAAATACATTCTTTTTTAAACATGACCATTTTTGTGTGAAACCATAATGCCGTGGTTACGCGTCAGGCAGTGACGGGGAGCGCGGGCCTGCCCAGCCGGGGCGCGCAGCGAGGAGTCTGCAGAGCGCGCCCGGGCGCCGCACACTCACCTGCGGAAGCTTCACCCCTGCTGCTCTGGTGCTGCTGCAGCGTTTGCACTTCCCGGGCAAGTTTCTGCTTCTCGGCTTCCAGGGCTTCCAGGATTCTCGTGTGGCGGATGCGGTGGTCCTCCAGAGCCTACGTGACATGTGCCCCCGCCGGGCCGCACGTGAGAGCACGCAGAGAAATCACAGGACCCGATCTGATCCCGTACGATCCTCGTAACGTGTCACCATTAAACTGCCTTTTACAGCACGTGTTTTATTAAGCATTAAAGGCTATTAAAAATATCTCTCTTTATGAAATGATTTTTCCCCTATAACAAAATCATTAGGAATTTTTGGTGACAAAGATTAATCTTCCTCTTTCCATTAGTAGAAAATTGGGGGGGGGGGGAACCTTTAGAAAAAAAATTCAAAAAAGCTCATATTCAAGGACCTTGACTAAATAAAAAAGCTAATTAAAAGATGCCAAAAAACCTCCCGGGACACACAGGAGCCTTACGACAGCCCCCTGACGTTTCCAGGATTCTAGCGGTTCTGTCTTCCCTCCTGAAACTCGGGCAGCGCGTGCTCACTGCGCCCCAGGGCGGACCGGTGGCGGCGGAGGACCACGCCACTGCCGCTTCCAGACATGACGTGCTGGGGCGTCTTCCCCGACCCGCACCCCCAGCAGCTCGGACAGAGAAGAGCGACCCGTCTAGAGCGAACTGCGAGGTGTAGGCCCGAAGCGGGAAGCCGACGATGCAGCTTCAGGCCCCGCCAGACTCCACCCCCTCCCGCCCCCCAAACCGCAGTGCCCCGCCCCTGCTCCCGGCCCCGCCCCTGGCCTGCTCGGCTCTGCACGGGGCCTCGGGACCAGCGTTTCTAACGGGGCCTCAGGCGGACGCTGCTGGCCTAGGGACCCCGCTCTGAGAGCCACTGACATACAGTGGAAGGAAAGCCAAACGGTGACCGAACGGTGCCCCCGCGGACCCGTGAATGGGCCCCTGGGAGAAGCCCCGCCCCCTGAGCTGGCGGACCGCCCACGACGCTCCCCTGGAGCCGCTGCGCAGGCCGCGCCCCCGCCCCAACCCCAGAGTTGGCGCGGCCGGGCCAGGAACCCGCGGGCCGCGAGGGACTCGCCTGCTTGGCAGCCAGACCCTCCACCTCCAGCCGCCTCCTGTTGACGTGGATTTCCTGCTCCAGGCGCTGCTTCGCCTTCTCCAGTTCCTCGATTCTGTGAGCAGCTTTCTGGTTACTTATCGCCTGCACTTCCTTCCTTTGAGACTCTTCTTTCTTTAAGGGACAGTAATGAAAATCACTGGGGCAGAAATACAGAGCGTTTTTAAAAAGCTGCCCCAGATGAACGGCCAGCCCCCTGCTCGGTCCGGTCGCACCCCCTCTGCCCGGGTCTCTGGGGGGGGAGGGGGGCGGCCCCTGGGACGGCCGGCCCGCGGGCGCTTCCACACAGGCCATAGAGGCGGCAGGCGAGCAGAAGGGCCCCGATGGACGTGGCAGAGGGGACACGCCTGAGCGAGGAAGGTGGGCCTGGAGGACACCCGCCCGCTCCCCTGCGCGGACCTGCTCCCCCATGCCTGCCCCCTCCCGCCGCCCCCCGCCGCTCGCTGGGACGGGTCCCCTGGCGGGACGGGCAGGAGACTGCCCACCCACGGTACCAGCTGCGCCTCCAGGGCCTCGATCCGGCGCTCGTAGGCGGCCCGCTGGCCGGCGAGCTCGCGCGCGGCCACCTCCTGGGCGATCTGGGCGCCGCGCAGCAGCTCCTCCTTGGCTCGCAGCTGCGCCTCCCGCACCTCGGCCTCTAGCCTGCGGGGCAGAGGTCCGGCGCTCACCACCCGCCGCCACGACCGGCCGCGGGCACCGCCTGAGCCTCGCCCGGCTACAGCGCTCAGGCCGCGTGGCGGCCAATCAGAGGCGGGTGCGCGGCGTGAGCGCCGCAGCTCCTCCCGCGCAGGTGTCTTCCGTTACAGAAAACTTACACCTCAGAGCTCCGTTTCTGACCCACCGACCGTGGCGGTTTACGTTTTACCAGCCTTAGAATTGTTTACACGGAGGCAGGAGAAAGGGCTGAAGGTTTGCTCACGTGACCTACGTACCACTGCAGACACCCAGGCAGGCACCCCCCCCCACCCCCAGGGGGAGCAAGCCGAGCGGAGGCAGGGCCGTGCGGTGAGCGCCGCAGCGACGGCCCCCTCCCGTGCCAGCACGCGGAAACGGAGGGTCCCCTATGCTACAGGGCAGCGTGTCGCCCGTGAGCGCCTTGCACATTCGGGCCGCGCACAAGAAGGCTGACGCGGCTGTGAATGCACAGGGGACGAGGGACACTGCGGAGCCCGCAGTGCACGGTCCGCACCATCGACAGTCACACAGCAACGGTGCCGCGCAGACGTTCCCGCCCAACTGCGCTAAGGGCTGGGGGGCGGGCGAGGGGCAAGACGTGGGTAGAGCCAGGGCTGGCGTCCCCAGGCCCTCCCTGGGGTAGGGGAGGACGCAGGGGGCGGGAGACAGTGGTGGCGAGGGCTGAGCAGCCACGCGAAGGTACTTAAACCCACGGAACTGCGTGCTGAAAAGTGGTCAGGTCGTGGCGTTCATGCTGTGCATGTTGTACAGAAAGAAAGGGCAAAAGCGAGCTCGGACTTCGGAACGGGGACACGGCAGGTGCGTCCAGCCTGCGGGCCCCCCGGACGCTCCTCCCTGCCTGTCCTCCGTGGTCACCTCGCGGAGGCCCTGCCCCTCATCACCCTCTGGCCCTGAGCACACGACACTGTCTCCCTTCACTCGGGCCTGAACGGCACCCAGTGCTTTCTCTAAACACGAGACTCTCCCTGTCTATCCCGTGTCTGCTTAAAACCCCTGCCGCGCCCCGCGCCCTGACGGTGAAGCCCACACTCGGCGTCCCCTTCAGGCCTGTTTCAGCCCCGAGTTTCCGAGGGCCCTGCTCCCTGCGGCAGCGCGGCCGCAGGAGCTGCAGAAGGCGTCTCCCCGCCCGGCCCTGCCCGCGGGCGCCTCGCCGTCCCCGGGCCTCTGTCCGGCGGCGCCGCTCTCCCCCTGGGGAGCTCGCCGACCCCCATCGGGGCCCGGGGCCACCCACAAGCTCCACATGGGGCAGGGCGCGGTCACACCTGTGCCCATCAGCCCCAGGTGACCGCGTCTCCCCCCAGAGCCCCCGTCCCCAGCCCCTGGCTCAAGGAGCCTGTGGCGTGAGCGTGCGGGCCCGGGAGTCGTCACCCGGCGCTGACCACCGGCGACGGGCCAGTCGGCCCACGCGCTCACCTCCCTGCAGACACCCTGCCGACACCGCCGCCCCGCCCCACCAGACACTCAGCGCGGCAGCCCAACAGCAATACTCACTGCGACCGCTGGGCTGCGAGCAGCTCGTTCCTGGCGAACTCAAAGTCCTTCGGGCCCTCGCCCTTGGGGGCGTCTGCCCCGGTTGGCCTTTTCCCCGCCTGGGCTTCTGCCGGGTGACTGAACCTGAAATAGTGGTCTCCGCCGAGGACCAGACGGTCACCCTAGAGCACACAAGAGACTGACTGCTGCGGGCACGTCTGCACCGAGCGGTGCACAGACAAGCCGGCGAGCTCAGCGCTCCACTGAGTCGGCCACCAGTAATGGGACACACGGAAACCATGGCAGCCACCACTCAGGCAACGCTGTCCACACGCCAGGAACCGCGTGGCCCACGTCCACAGGTGTCCTCTCCCGTGCGTGCCGCGACAGCGTGCCGTGGGCCGGCTTCACGGGGAGGAGACTGAAGCGCAGACTCCCAGGCAGCAGGGCGGGGCACTCGGTGAGCGTCCCCCTGCCGACGCCGAGTCAGCGACGGCATGCGATGTGTCCCCTCTCGCCTCCCAACAGACAGGCCACACAGGACCTGACCCTGTGTGTTCGGGGGCCCGCAGCACCGCTTCCTGTCTGTTCATCCACGTAGTCACTAAAATGTGCTCGCAGCGTCCCGGCCTCGGGGACACACAGCCGGCCAGTTCAGCAGCTTCGCAAAGGTCCCTGGGTGCAGGGCAGGGCCACGCTCTGCCCGCTGGCCTGGCTACGGCCCAGCTGTTCACCGACACACAGGCTGACAGCGGCTAGCCCGCCTGGCCCTGGCTCACAGCGACACGCCAGCCATCGCTGCACACGAGGTGGCAGTTCATGAATTAATGGGAAAGGGGACTTTCAGGCTGAATCGCAAAGTGAACTGGACAACGCCCGCCCACTCACATGGTGCAGCACCGTGGGTTCCGAGACGAGGTTGCCGTTCACGTAGGTCTCTGCCTCCCCCGCCGGGACCAGGCTCACGGTCCCACCGACGTTCCTGATCGTGCTGTTGGCAGAGAGACACACTGCTACGGCTGCAGGGCGGGCAACAGAGCAGGGACAAGCCGACCGAGGGGCCTGTTGGGGTCGCTGGTCAGGTGCAAAGGGTCAGGTCAATTCGTGGCAACAACGTGACCCCCTCACTTCCCTGAAGCCTGAATGCGGGGCTGCCGCCCACGGGCTGTGGTGGAAAAGCCTGGCCTCCCTGGCGTTTCTGCCCACGGGCGGAGGGGTCAGTGTCTGCCAGTTCATTGCAACCACTTAAAAAATACCCCCTGAAACAAACCCAGAGAAAAAGTCAACGAAAACATTAAATAGCGATGATGGTTTAGCTCTAAGTGGAACAGATCGACAGTGTTGCCTCCTCTTTACTCTCCTCACTTGCCGGCTGACCTAAGAGTTGTGCTAAGGGAGCGGGTGTCGCACACTCTCCCCACAGGACGGGGGCGTGGAGGCGAGAGCAGGGCACGGGACCCCGCTGGCGGGTGAGACTGTGGGGGCAGCTCAGACGCTCGGCGGGCCTTTGGGCCTCTTTATGCAGAGACTCGGAAAGGAACCCCAAGTCCAGCTCCTCTTTGGGGTAACAGGACAGAAAGGGGCAGGGAAGCAGCAGACCCCCACCCGGGGGTGGCGGTGTGTGCCCCGCAGGTCACAGGAGCAGCGACGCTCCCTGGACGCACGGCTGGGCCCCGGGTAGGCCACACGCGCGGCCGCCCGACACCCCCTGCCGGCGCTCGTTGCCCCGGGACACAAGCGCACGACCCAGCAGGGGCACACGGGCCAGCCCCGCCCAAGTCCTCTGGCTTCACTCCCGTGACTTCAACACCAAGAAAGCTTGCCCCTCAGCTGACGGGGGACACACACCGACACCACAAGTGAGAGTGTCGTTACTTGACACCCCAGGCCGCCCTCACGGGACACTCGGACATCGCTGTCCTGGTAAGAGGTGTGGCAAAGGCAGGCCCCCTGAGCTCACCCCCATGTGCGCCCAGGCCTCAGACGCCGACGGGACGCCAAGCAGGCGCCTGTGTCTGCTGAGAGGGCGGGCTTACCAGTGGTCCTCGGCCACCAGCACCCCCGAGAGCCGGATGTCGGGGCTGGAGGAGGGGCCGCTCTTGCCCACCGTGGTGGTGCCTTCTTTTATCACGTAAAACAGCATCTCCGACAGCTGGGGGTCTGCGCTGAGGTTGACCAGGCTGGGCGAGTGGCTGTCCGCGTGGAAGGCAATTCCCGCTTTCTGCCGGGGTCAGGGAGAAGCCAGCCATGACCACAGGCACCAAGCTGTTAAATTCACGCAAAACGAGGGATCTCTGCTGGATGTTAGGAGCGCTCCACGCGAGGTCTCCCTGAATCAGGGCTGCCTAGGGCCTCTCCTAGGTGATGCCCCGGGGCGGCGCCCCCTTTGCCCCGCACCGTGCCCATCGGCTCACGCTCCCACCCGCCGTCCGCATACGGGGCCGGTTCTCGCTGACTCACCCGTCGACTCTGCCACGGGGCGCTGGGGCTGAACCGCCCGCACCGCCACTGCCTCCGCGGCTCCTCGAGGCCCTGCCCACAGGCCTCCCCCCCGCCCCGCCCACTGCACCCTCCACCAGGTGAGCGCCCCTGAAAGGCGTCCTCAACGCGTCCACCTCCGGGCCCAGCACTTCCCACGACTTCCCACACCCTCCCGGATAGACTCACACTCCTGGGCCTGGACACGAGGCCTTGGATCCATGAACCATAACCCTGCCTCCAATGCTATCTCCTTATGACCCTCCTCAAACCGCTCCAAAGAGGCGGAGCCCCCCGCCCCCGGCCGAGGCCGGGCTGCTCACACCCCGCACCCCGGTCCTACCGCAGCTCCGTCCTGGGGGCACGCCCCCGCCCTCATCGATGTCTGGCCCCACTCCCATCCCACCTCTCCCGGACGCTGGACGGACCACTCCCCGGGGGCACCCCTTCCTCTGCGTCCTCACGGACCCGCCAACCGAGCGCCTGAAACGCCGCCTCAACCGCCACCACCTCTGCCCGAACCGCCGGCTCCGACCTCCTATAGCGACGTTCGAGTCTCTCCCGTCCCTTACGGACACGACATCTCCCCATGCCCAGCCCAGCAGCAGCATTTAATAAGCGTCTGTCCCACCAGACTGTTCATGTGTTAACCTTCCAACGGGCTGACGGCGGAAGCGGCCACAGCCCTGACCCTAACGCCGCGTAATGCACGTCCTCTCCACGGTCCTGTGTCCTGCGGATGGGTACACGGATCTACGTATTTACGGGCAACCTTTAGCCTTTACATCAGTTAGAGCGTCGAGATCGTACCTGTAACTCCTTTATTTCCTGATGCTTTCTTTTTTCAGCTTCTTCAAATTTCTTTTTCCACACTCTTTCGGAAGACAAAAATAATAGTTCAAAAATACATATACACATGCATATTTTTATACATATGATTAAGAATCAACAGGCAATCCATAAAGATTATGACACCAAGTGGGAGCAAACAGGACGGTCTCGGGGTGGCTGCCGCATTCCCGTGGTGCGGGTGGAGGACAGCGCCCCACCCCGCCCACCTCTGCATCTCCGCCATGTCCCGCTCCTGCTGGTGCAGCTTCATTCTCAGCGAGGTTATTTCCTGCCGACAGAGCCTGTATCGTTCAGGGTCAACCTGCTGACGGCTTCTCTGAGCAGCTTTCAGCTTTTCAATTTCTGCTTTCAAGTCTAAACATTTAGAGCACGACGGGTAACATTTGGTTTGGAGGAATCCCCAGCGTTCGTGCGACCCCCCGCACCCCGCCCCCGCCCCCGCGGACCCCGCCCGCACAGACCGCGCCCCGCCCCCGCTCACCTCGGATGAGCTGCGCGCTCGCGTCCTCGTTCACACGCGCCACGTTGACGATGCTGCGCGCCTGGCGCGCGTAGCGCAGCGTGCTCAGGGTCTCCTCCAGGCAGCTGGCGGCCGGGCTGACCGTGGCGACCATGGCCGTCTTCGAGTTGCCGCCCAGGCTCTCTTTCAACAGCCTTGGAGGGGAAAGATCGTCATGGACCTCGCTTCTGCGCCTCCCAGCGGCCGTTTTCGGGGCAGCACGACCCAACGCGCAGGGCCCCGGGGCGGTGCTTCGCCCGCCACCCAGACTCGCTGCTCCTCCCAGAGCTTGTGAAGGCCTCGTTTCTCCTGCGCTTTTCATACTGTTCCATGGAGCAATCATCGGGGCACGGACCTTACCCTGCGCTTAACGCTCAGGTGTCCGGCGCTGCAGGTGCTTCCAGAAAGGGACCAGTGTCTTGGTCACCTCTCTGGCCAGCGCTACGCCTCGACCTTTTGGAGCACGTAGGTGCTTAGTAAATGTTGAAGATGATGAACGGACATGCAATCAAAAGTCGTTTGCTACTAGCTGCAAAAGCCTTATTTGAGCGGGAAAAGGAGTGTGAGACTAAAAAGTGTGACACTATGAATGAACCATGAACCTCACTATCCTTAACGGTCAAAGGCTTTCAACAAATCCGAGGCCTCCTCCCCGGTCTGCGGGGGCAGTGGCCGGACAGTAGGCAGTTCCGGAGGAACTTCGGGCGGGTGGGTGGGCAGGGGTGGCACAGGGCCCATCGAGCAGGACGCTGGACCCACAGGCGGAGCTTCAGTGGGAGGCGTGTGACGTGAAGGCCGTGTTCGTTACTGAAAACACGCACACACGAGGCAGCCTGTGCCGGACCAACGGAGGACCCAAGGCCGCTGCGCGCAGGCCTCCGGGCGCCGAGCGCTGCGGCCCTGACGGGCGCAGGCCCGGCCCTGGCCGCTGCCGGCGCCAGTGCCGTTCTCCGCGGCTGTCCCCTCCCTCACTGCAGCCCGGAGGGCGGGGCTGCCACCGCCCATCTCGCCACCCCGGAAGCGGCCGAGGAGGGGGGCCCGGCCCGGAAGACGCAGGGCCGGGGCTCAGGCCCAGGCAGCCCGGCCCGAAGCCACGCCGCCCTCTCCAGTTCAGAAGACACTTGCCAGGTGAGTACCGACTCGCGGTAGGGGACAAACGCCCCCTTCCGCCCCCCGCGTTCCGCCAGCGCAGACACCACCTTGCCCAGCGTCAGCAGGGACTTGTTGATGCTCACACCCTCCTGCGGGGGAGAGAAGGACAGGCTCAGCGTCCAGTCGCCGCTCAGAGTAAGCTACTGCACAGGATGCCCTTCTTCCCTCCCGGAACCGCTGGCTAACTGCGTCCTCCATGGACCACCAGCGTTTATGACTCCAGACTCACTGCCTTTGTCGAAGGGCAATCATAGCCAAAAAAGTACGATTTCTCCGCCAGCCCCCGCGGCGCGGTCTGTGAGCCGCAGCCAGAGGCGGGCTTTTGTCCCTGGGAGTCAACCATGGGTGCCATCGCCTGGAGTCCGCGCCCGCGGCCGTGGCCACGCCCCCGCCCCCGCGGCCACGCCCCCGCCCCCGGGAAAGGCCCCTCACCCTGAGCTGCTGCCCGCAGGCCCCGGCCGGGCCGCAGCGCTCACTGCCCGCCAGGTCCACGAGGTCAACGCGGCTGGTCACCCTGTGCTCGTGCTCCTCCCCGTCCACGCGCTCCGTCTGCGGCAAAATGGCACGAAAAGACACGCCGTCAGTTCTCGCAACGCACGGTCCATGTGAGCCTCCACACGGAAAGCCGTGCGCGTGCACGCGCGGGCCACCCGGCGGCTTTTGACGAGGTCCTTCCTGAACCTGCGGGAACGGTCCCAGGGCGAGTCAAGGCCGCACCGCACGGTGCTCAGCTCGCCCGGGCAGGAGAGACAGGACTCCAGCGGGGTGGGACCCACAACGACGCAGCCACTGAAGGAAACAGCCCCACGCGGGTTACCGGCTGACTGTGCCACGGAGCTGCTTACCCCAGCACTACTGCGGCCACGGGTTCGAAAGCAACATGAAAGTCCAACAGCAGAGAAAGCTCGAGGAATTAATTGTAAGTCAATGGAATATTAGCCAGAGGTAAATATTTTGCAAAGACGTTTTAGTGGCATAAAATTGTTGCCGACCTTGTAAATGTAAGAGTAACTGTACCACAACTGAAACTGTATTCACCAAAATGTTCGCGGGGCTTTTACTTGAGCCATGGAACCTATGGCTGGATTTTTGCAAATCTTTTACTTTCTGATAGGATTTTCCAAATACTGTACAATAATCACCATGTATGATTAATAACATATCATGTCAATACAGTATCAATGATATCGTGGTAAATTAATAGTCTATACTCTGGATTTTTAAAACAGTGAGAAAAACATACAGCCATATACACCAAAACCGATTCAGTTACTGTGTGTATTTCCTAAAATCCAATTATCTACATACTGACGGGAATGCCCGTTCGCCTCTGACTTAGCGAAACCCCGCGAACCCGGGAAGCACCCAGGGGGCCCACCTGGGCGCGCGTCATCCGCAGGGACAGCACCGCGTGGGACCGGGAGCTCTTGTCGTTCATCCCCGTGGCGGCCGTGGCCCTCTGCTTGGCCCCCAGCTCCAGCCAGCCCTGCGGGGAGAGGGGTCAGCCCTGCGGGGGGAGGGGTCAGCCCTGCAGACGGCGGCGCCTGGGGACGCGCCACTGAACGGGACACACACGTTTACTGGTTCACAACAGGAAACCGGTAGCAAACGCGAGTCATTCAGTGATGCGCATCCCCACCGCCTGTTTTGACTGCTGCTGAATCAGAAAATAGCCACTTTAAAAGGGAGTTTCTATAACTCTAAGTTGACATGCTGGTCAATTTTTACTTTTAGTTCAGAAGAATAATTCTTACGGTAAATTAACAAGATTAAGCTTTTACTTATGCAAACGGCATCTAAGGAGGAACATTCTTCCGTATACACACGGTTACAATCGTTCTCTCTTGTGGAAAGCAAACAAAACACACGGACTCTCACCTGGACATCAGAGTAGGAGCTGACGGCATTCCTATTGTTGAAAAGTAAACACACGAAATCAACTTTACGGACGCTCGCACTCTCGTTCTCATATAATCAACAGCACGGTTTTCCTTGGTAGAGTGAAGCGCCTCGGCACCGCTGCACCACCGCGTGGCACATGCACAGCGACACGCGTGGCCGTGTTCGGGGAGGAGCTGGGCCCACGCCGCCCCATGCTCCGTCCCTTCAGAGAAGCCCCGGGGGCGCCGGCAGACCACGCGCGTGAGCCCCAGCGCGGAGCTCAGCGGGCGCCTCCTCCCGGGCGCGGGAGGAGCCGATACGAAGGGGGAGGGGAGGTAATTCCTGCTCAGACAGGTAACGCTCCGCGCCAGGCTTCGCCGCGGCCGAGAAAGGCACAGACAAGCCGAAAACGCGCAGCTAACACGCTACTTACACGGTCAGAGCTTCGACATAGGGCCCGGAAACGGGGTGCTCCCTGACGCGCAGCTGCTGGGAGCAAACGGAGCCGCAATGAGCGCGTGGCCGGCGGCTCACGCTAAAGACGTTTTTCAGTGGCGCTTCCTACGTTTTGAGCTTAAGGTGAAGGCGCCTCCGCTCCCCGCAGGAATAACCCTGAAGGGTCTCACGACAGCAAACCGGGAGGCAGCAACTGCCTCGCACCGCGGCTGCGACCTGCGCGGGTGCCCGCGTCCCCGGCAGCGCTCGGGCTGACGCCCCGCAGCGGCCGCTGCGCCGGCCCCGCCCCCCCGCCCCCGCCCGAGCGGTGTCCGCCGCGGCCCAGACACGTCACACCTGTGGCCGTTTACGTGACGCGGTCTACACTCTGCGACCAGAAATCTCAGACCGCGTCCAAGTCACAGGAGAAAACGCCCCGTTGGGTCTGCCGTTCGGGGCGTTGCCCGAGTCAAGCGCAAACAAATATCTTTAATTTACACAATACTTGCTTAAAATAAAAAGGTTAAATTTAATAACTAACTTATCACAAGTGATAATGTTCCGCTTATTTGCTAAGTAACAGCGCACTGAGACTGTAGATCCCCGGCACTTGCTACCACGTAACAGCATTTTAGTTAAAATGTAAGCCACGTGTATCACCGTGAGACTGAATATAATTATATGCATTTTAAAAACATAAAGTTAGAACAGGTAGTAAATGGTTTTAATCTTACCGGTTGCTTTGCCTGCCCGCTTTCACCTTTACAAACCAGGAGGTCGTGAATTTTTTCATTGTACACTTCAAAGAAGCTCATTTCAAAGTGGTACCTAACCTGGTCAGAACAGAGACAGCGTGCGGTTCAGTTCTAAAGTCCTCACGTTCTTTGCAAATTATGTATCAGATAAGGGTCTGGTATGAAGAACAGATAAAGAACTCTAACAACTCAAGAACAAAACACCCCGACTTAAAAATGGACAAGACTCTTCCCATGAGGTCCCCGCTCAGAGAAATACATCCTCCCGCGGTCGGAGCGAGCGAGCGAGCGAGCAAGCATTCAGACCCATGGTGAGGACCATGACCGTAAATAAAACGACCAGCCAGAAAGGGGAGGAAGTAGGACAGCCAGGGAGGCTCAGGAGGGGCAGAGGGGACGGGAGGCGTGAAGGATGGAGCCAGGTACGCGGGCTGCTGCCATCTGACCGGCAAGCTGGGGCCTTAGGTGAGCGCGGATCCCGGGCCGGGCCGGAGCCTGGGGCGGAGAGCGGAGCCCAGAATGCGCGGCCGAGCCCCACGTGGCTCCTCGCCAGGCCGGCGTGAGGGCCTGCAGCCCCTGTGAGCACATACCTCTGGGGTAGCGGCTACTTGAGCAAAAAGGTCTTCACAGAATCTTGGAATGACTCCTGGATCTTCACCAAATCCCATCATCCTGGAAAATGCATCGTGAACAGGGCGGAAGAAAAACTAATTAGGTTTTTAAAATGCTTTGCTGGGGAAATGGTTGAGTTGGGCGTGGGCAGCCGCTACCTAACCCTCGTCGTCCACGGCCCAGGACTCGGGCTCTGGAGCCCCATCGGCCCAAGTTCAGCCTTCACTTCACCCCGTCAGCTCCGTGGCCCTGGGCCGATGCTCACCCCAGCGTCCTGGTCTGCAACGGGGGTGCCCACAGAGCGCTCTGACTCGGAGGGCCGCGTGAGGGAGCTCCCGCGCGGTGCCTGGATGCGGTCAGCGCTCCACGGAGCTTGGCCGCTGTTGACTCGCCGACCGGCTCCTTCCGGGCAGGCGTTCTCACCACACCGCCCGCTGGACGGTCTATGTCTAATTCCCACGGTAGTGCTTACGGCAGAGCCTCTCTGGGCGCCGGTTTATTCCGGAAGCACCACTTACAGTAAAAGGGGGCCAATGAGACATTCCAGGTCGACATACACTGAAGCCCAGAGGTTAAGCAACTGGACCAAGTTTGCGCAACTGGTTTGTAAAACTGACGAGACTTGAGCCCGGATCCACGTGGTTTCAAAAGTATATGCTTTCTATCAAACCACGATGCTTCTCACAAAGGATATAAACCACCCTGGCTGGTGCGGCTCCATGGGGTGGAGCCTCGCTCCATAAACCAAAAGGTCGCGGGTTCGATTCCCAGTGGGGGCACCTGCCTGGGTTGTGGGTTTGGCCCCAGGTGTAGGTGCATACGAGAGGCAACCAACCAATGTCTCTCACACGGTTGTTTCTTCCCCCCGTTTCCCTCCCTTCCCCTCCCTCTAAAATCAGAAGGCATGTCTGCAGGTGAGGATAAACAAACAAAAAGGGACACGAACCCTTCTGCGGAGTTGCTTTTGCAACAAAACTTACGTGTAGGACTTCCCGGAGCCGGTCTGCCCGTAGGCAAAGAGGCAGGCGTTGTAGCCTTCCAGGGCGCGCGCGAGGAGGGGCGCCGCCAGGGTCCCGTACACCGCGGCCTGGCCGGCGTAGCGGGGGTGAGCCTCGTCGAAGGACCAGAACACGGCGTCGTAAGCAAAGCTATACACGTGCCTCGAGTCCGGGTGTCTCACGGCTATTTCTTCCCCGTCCACGAAGACCACCTGGGACGCGTGCTCGTCCCTCTCCCTTCAGAAAGGGGCGAAGAGGAAACGCCAAGTCGCGGCCATTGCTTTGGAGCGTTGCCCCCCAGAACGCACGGGCTGGGAACTGGGCAGAGGCGGCTTTGCTCCGGGGCAAGGCCGTGCTTTCGGTTCCCGCGAAGAGTGTGGAGCCGCAAACAGGACTGCGGGGCATTTCCAGGCCGAGCTCCTGGGACTCCGGCCCCAGCCCGGCTCGCGGGGAGAGGGGGGCCCGGGCTCCTGGCCCCGAAAGCCGGCCCCGCTCCCGCAGCCACCCCGTCCGCCCCTTTGTCTCTCGAGCTCCGCCTCTTCTCCCTCCTGGGACCCACCTGCACGCCTCAGTTCAGGCCTCCGTTCAGGTCTGGACACTTATTTTTAGGACGTTATAAAGAAATCTCAGAAGTAGGAGGCTACAGAAAGCGGGCAGGAGGTACCGGTGTCGTCTCAGCAAACCCCGTCATGTGTCCGTGTGGCTGGCAGGCGCCCGGCACCTCACCGCTGTCCCCGCCGTCCCCGCCGCCGCAGGGCCCCTCCCGCCCTCCGGCGTCCGCCCTCCGTCCACCCCGGCGCGGGCAGCCCCCCGCTCGCTCACGGCCGCAGAAAGCACGGCGCCCCACTCTGGCCCACGCGCCCCCTTTTCGCCCCCTGCTCTGCTTTTAGAGCAGAACTGGTAGCTGGAAGCCGCCTCCCCAGGGCTGCGACGGGCGTGCCCTGCCTGCCGTGCTGGCGGGGACAGTCTGCTGGGCCCGGCAGCGGCCACCCGCCTCGGCCCGGCCCCCGCCGGCCTGTCCTCTGGCCGCCTCGCCTCCTCGCGGCTCTGGAGGCTGCTCCGCTGGGTGTCCCTGCTCTCTCTGCCCAGCACCCTCGGCTCCCTCCCTTGTCACTGACCCCGCTTCGTCCTCAAGAGGCTCTGGTCACTGTAGGACTTCCCTTTAACCATTGGCCCCCTAGGCTCAAACGAGAGGCTGTGTCCCCACCGCGCCGGTCGGCGAGTCGTCTTGCTCAGGCGCAACAAAGGGGAAAACCGCCAGCTCGGAGCTTTCCTGTCGTCCCGTAAAAGACTTGAAAATGATTGGGTGCCGCGGGCGCACTGCGAGGTCCGACGTCTTCAACCCAGCATGTCACCTGCGACCGTCCCGCCCACGATCCTTTGATGGAAAGAGCTCGTTTGCCGTCAGGATCGCACCTGAGCTGCCGCCCCCCCACGCCCGTGTCAGAGCTGCTGACAACGGGGACAATCGCCGGTCCGGGTTGGGAAAGGCCACTCTGGGGAGAGACCCACGGTGGCCCCTGGAAGGGGAAGGCAGGCGACCCCACCCTACAGCGCAGACCCGAGGGCAGACTGTACGAGAGGCGAAGTCAGTCGGACCTCTGAAAGCAGCACATCTAGGAAAACCTACGTTTGCAAAATACAGTGATTTCGATTTAACTCTACAGCCAATCATCCCAAACCATCAACACACTGCAAGGCAACCTCGGGGTTCTCTCTGCACAAAAAGACCAGCGACAAGCGTGAAGACGCTCGCGCACCCACGCCTCCCCAAGGCAGAGGGGCTGGGGCAGCCCGCGGCAGCGGCCTGGCTCCATCCGAAGGGCGTGACGTACCTCTTGCTGAACGGCCTCACGCGCACGGCCACCGTCACCTGGCTGCTCTCCGCTCTTGGGGGGTCTCTTTGGGTGGAGCTGCCCCGAACCACAGTTTCTTCCTGGGGAGGAAGTGTGTGTTCTTGGGACCTGTCCCCTTGACTTGCGACAAGGGGGCCTTTTGGCTTCTGTTGAAGCTGAGAGCCAGGCGTGCCGGTGTTCCGGACGGACGCAGCCCGGCCCTTAAGCTGCAGTGAGCCACAGCGCGGGGTCAGCTTGGGCTCTGCAGGACGCGCGGTGGGCGTCCTTTTCTCTAAGCTTCCCAGTGGACTTGTGTTTTTCACAGTATCCTTCCCGGCACCTCTATGATGCCAGTTTCCGGGTCCCGGCCCCTTGATGTCCAACGTGCTCTGCGCGGGTTTTGTGGCCAAGTGTCCTGGTCGAACAGCCCCAGTGTGACTCTGGGAACGGATGGGCGTGCTGTGACTTAAGTACGGCAGGGCCACACTGTCCCCCGCCCCCCCGAGGATGGAAAACATGTCTTTGTATTCTTCATCCGCCACCAGTTCAGCGCCTTTTGCGCCTTCCGCTGCGGGCACCGCAGAGGCAGCGAAAGCGTCTCTTCCGTCACCAACGGCCTTGACGGTGGCTCCACTCTCCCGCAGAGCTGCGCCCGCGCCCCGCACCGCTGCCTGCTTGTCCACAGGGCCTGTTCGAGTGCGACGCTGCAACACAAGACGGGTCTCTGGCGTTTTTTCAGGTGACCCTCCCGCCTCATTTCCGAGCAACGACGGTTCTTTGCTCCTTGTGACTCTTCTCTGAAGGGTCGGTCGGCCTGCAAGGTTGGGGGCCGGGGTCGTGTCCCCGGGGGGCTCACCGGCAGAAATAACGTAAGTGCAGTTTATGTCTCTGATTCTCCTGGCAGGGCTCCAGGACGGGTCGCGGTTCTCCCGCTCTGACGCATCCAGCCTTGAGTGCGGCTTCAGGCTGCCCCTGAGGCTGCAGGCGTTCGGGGACGAGCCCTTCTGGAAAGAAGGGCCACCGGGGGTGTCGCCGCTGTTCCGACCGCGTGCCGCGTGCACTGACATCGTGGCAGCGAGTTACTTCCACAGAACGCTGCCGGGGAACCTCCGCTTGTCTTCGGATGCTCGTTTGACTTCCAGCCTATCCGCTTCCAAAAGTATCTGTTAAATTACAAAGAGCGAAACATTACGTTGCAGACTACACACGGGCTTTAAAACTAGGAGAACCTTCCGCTGTGAAAGCAGCTTCCCAGAGGGACACATCAGAGTTAGTACTGTGTCCAGGCAGCTTCGGGCAGACGCCTGTCCTCAGAGGACCTACAATCGTTACTTAGCGAATGTTCGTTCAGCCTCCATCATGTAAATACTATGGCTTCCAAAGACAAGACCCTTGTTCTTGTTTCCTTAGTCTGGAAGGAAAGCACCTGTCACTCCTACGTCAGGTCAAATGTGCCAAGTGACTAAAAGATGTAAAAAGGACACGTTGGCAAAGGTTTTTGTTTTTTAAAGGACCTGCAGCCTGGGGAGCAGGGAGGGGGACTAAAGGAAGGCCAGCACCTAAGTGAAAGACTAAGGCAAAGCATTTGCATAACACCTGCTGAATGCATGTTAAATACAGGAACGCCTCACAGGACACGGATAGTTATTTCAAGCCACAGAGAACGGATCTGCGAAAATCCTAACAAGAATAGGTCACCAAATATGACAAACAGGACAATGGCCTGCAGACTGGGAATGTTCCATGTACATCCCAGCCATCGGGAGAAGAGACGCGAAGGGGCGCAGTAAGTACAGGACCGACGCTGGAATTTCCCACCCAAGAAAGAACCGGAAGGCCCAGGTGGCGCAGCAGAGCCCTCCACCTTCCGGGGGCGGAAGGGCATCCCAACCAAGCTGGGCTCGGAAAGGAAGGGGCGAGCGAGAGGTAGCTGCACGCGTTCGTGGCTGCTGGGTGCTGCAAAGGCTCTCAGAAGGCCAGCCTCCGTTTCACGGAGCACAGCAGAGCCTCCGACCGTGTCCCTCACGGGAGACACGGGCCGGCCTCCGCACCCGGCCGTCCCGGTGTGCAGCCTGTGCTGTGGACGGGGAGCCACCGTCAGGACAGACCACAGTGACAGAAGGGCCTTCTACAGGCAAAGGTGCCCGGCCAGGCAGGGGGCATCTGATCGCCCTATTTGTTTAATCTGTACACCACACACATCATACAGACACTGGGCTAGGTTCAGGGGAAGGAGGAGTGAAACCTGGTGGAAGGAACATCAACAACTTAGGATGTAAGGATGACAGCCTCCCACTAGCAGAAGGCAGCGGGGATCTGGAATGACTTCTGGTGAAAGCGGAGGAGGGAAGTGCCAGGGCCGGGCTGCGTCCGAACACCGAGCAGGCCAAGACGACCACAGAGGAAACACACGACTTCAGCCCAGACAACGAAGACCTTGAAACTGGAAAGATGCCGCTCACCTTAGCTCAGTTATCAATTCGAATGGAGACTCAGCCCAGGGCTGGAGCAAAGGCTGAGACTCGGAAGGGCAGCGGTGGGAGGGTCAGGGGAAGGCCACCGAGAGCCCGGACGTGCCATCAGAGACCACGGCTGAGACCGCCACACCCTCTATCCCCGGTTATGGATGGGAGAGTCGGACAGGGGAGAAGGGCAGTAGGAAAAAACCAGTTCACCTGACATGTGGGGCTGGCGGGAGCTCGGCGCAGACCCCGGGCGCCAGGGGGACGGGTACGTGGCTCCCAGCGCAGATTCAGCCGGAAACGCCCCCGGGGCAGAGCAGCCCTGCTCCGGGCGCTCGTAAGAAGGCGGGTCGTTGGGACAAGACAAGAGCGCGGGGAGACACCGGGGCGGCAGCACAGGGGACCACCTGGGAGGCGGATGGAGCCCGTGAAAGGGGCCGCAGGTGGAGGCCGCAGGGCGGAGCAGGGCTGGGAGGACAGGGCCCTGTGGGCGTCGCTCACTCATGGGGTCCCCAGGAGTCAGAGCACACAACACACACCTAAGTGTCCTGATAAACCCAACGCCCCTCCCCGAGAAGCTTCCTGGTCGGCCCTCGGGGCCATGGCCACCAGCGTGCCAGGACCCTGGTGTTCCCCTCCGCAGTGGTGGAGGCAGCCTCCGATCCTGTGAGCAATAAACCTTTACTTTTTTCAAAGTTTCCTGATGGTTGTTGCTGAAGCGCACCTTGCAGTCATCACAAGAACCACGAGGGCCGGTCCAGCCACAAGACTGGTTATTCACAGGCTGAGACCAATACAAAACCACAGGTGTGTGTGTAAATGTACGTCCACAGCATCTACCCGGCATTAAAGCTGAAAAAGAGAGAGAGAGAGAACAGCGGTGCCAGCTGGAAGCCTGGCTTGCAGCCAACTGTGCACCAACTGGGTCGCGTCCACGCAAACGAGTCTTTAAGATCGCGTGCCTGGCTCGCTTGTGAAGTGACACCTGCTCGGGCTACCCCCTGGAGTATTGCTGTCGAGGAATGAAATCACAGAAATTAACGTTTAGGGAAGTCCTTCCAAGTTCTAATAAGCAACACCCTGCGCATAAGCTTCCTGCTGCCAGCCTTTCAGCTCCAAGTAGAGAACCTTCTTCCTGCTGTGGAAGTCAATGGAGAGGCAAGGCGCTCCGCCTCAGCTGAAAGCTCTTTGCCCTTCCCACGAAGCGACGGGAACGGGGCGGGCGGGGGGACTGATTCTCCGTCAGAGTGGGACGCGCACAAGGGGCAGAAGTCACCGCCTGTCCTCCCGCAACGTCCCCGGGTTCTGTCCTCAGCCGGTCACTGCGAGGGCGGCACAGCGAAGGGACCTCCTTGCGCCGCCGCCGGGCGAGCCTCCCGCGCTGATAGCACCGGGCCTGAGGTCCGGCCGCCGCGCCCTCCCATCGCCGAGGACCGGAACCTCCGCGGGAGCCGCGGCCAGGACGCCGGGGCTCAGGACGGGGGTGCCCTGGGCCAAGACCGCTGCCCGCGCCGCCCTCCCCCGCGTCGCGCCACCACGGCCGCGCACCCCCCACGGCACCCATACCTCGCAAGTTCCCCCGCCACGGAGACGCCCAGACACCGCGCCCATAACACCGCCCGCTCCCCGGGTGTCCACAATTTGAATGGGCGCCCCGTCTTCTGATTGGCTGCTGGACGTCTCGTCGGGAGCGGCCTCCCGATTGGCTATTGGACGCGGCGATGAGTGCAGCCTTCTGATTGGCTATCGGACGTCGCGTTATGATTAGCTGTTACGTCAACCCGATGCCACCTTCTGATTGGCTGCTAGACGTCGCGCCGGGCGTCACGCCTTCACTTCCTGTCGGCTCCCGGAAGCGCCGGTGGCTGGGTTTCCGTGAATGTGATCGCTGGACACGATCGGCCCTCGGCGGAGTTCTGTTCCGCCGGTGGCCATCGATAACGTGGGTGTTCCGTGAAAACAGGCACAATGACACTTGTCGATCCTCAGAATAAAAGAAGCGTGGGGTCTATCCACCTCCATCGTCAGGATGGCAGTTTGTCCCCAAGTTGATCATAACGGTCCTTTTCTAGTATTTCCGATGCAGAGCGCGGAGACAGAAACGGGACTGAATCCCTGACACGGACCCTTTTTTTCACTTAATTCTGAAAATCCCAAACCGGGAAAACCTCTCAATGCTGCAAATGGTTAACAATGTGGGAAAATAACATCACGACTGTTAAGTCTCCACTCCATTATAATCACAAAATTATTAATTAAACAGGACCAGACCATGCAAAGACTCCCATCCTGGCAAAATGGTTTTCTAGAGGTTCCACAACAGGAATTCTTGAGCAAAACCGATCCCAAATAATCCGCTTATTCTGAAACTACAAGCAACTATGTTCTTAAAAATCCACCAGGGGGAGACAAAGTACAAGAAAACACGTAGAAAGCGGTCGGAAGGGAAGCGAGCACGTGGGGAGCCTTCTAGATCAGGTTAAAGTTTAAAGAAAAAACATTCACCTGGGCCAGTTAGCGGTCTCCCAGGCTACAAATTTAATACAATTGGCTCGAGCTCATCATTTTTAATTACTAAAACGTGGGCTTTATTTTCCTGCTTTGTAGACGTTGGCATTCAGTCGCATCTGGGTCCATAACAAACACGTGCGGTAGAACGATGGAAAGGAATAATTTTAAAACCCAAAGGACCAAGCTGAGAAGCGCTGAGAGCGCAGCACGCGAATTCCAGCTGTGGCTCCATCGCCACCTCACGGTGGGACCACCCCGTGTCTTTCCTGCAGTTTCTTCACCTGGGGAAGCCCAGTCACGGGATAGAATGGTCACAGCTGGCAATTACTGAGCAAAACCCCATAAGGGAGCTGCTGCAGTTGGGGTTATTGCTCTTTCGTAGGGAAGGGAAACTGAGTCTCCAGGACACTGAGCAGCTCGATGATACTACACATCCGTTAAGTCAGAAAGTCAAGTCCAGAGCTCAGGGAATTGGGCATCGCTGCCCACGCTCCGCAGCACTGCCCTGTACAGTTGCTTTGGTGGAGATTCTTCCTGGTTCTCACATTTCTATGACTTTGCAATAAAGCACAGAGCTAAACAATCACAAAAACAACTTTAAATTTCACTTTCTTTCTAAATTTGAATACATGTTGGCCAGTTTTACATTTGTCCGATTTCATACTTTCTAAATTCAAAAACATGTTAGACCAGAAGTCTTGGAAGTATGCGCTTGCTCTTCTTGGTCTGGTCTGGTGACTTTTTATGAAGTCAGCTGTGATCACACCGTGATTCAGTCTAAATGCCTTTAGCAAGTCTGCCAGTAATTTGAAAAGAAACAATTACATTAAGCTAGTAATCCTTTTTTAATACAGAAAGAAGAGCTCAGAGATTAGTAAATGTTCCAGACGCTCTTTCCTCTTTGAATCACACAGGTTTCATTCCAGAGACGATTAGTAAGGTTAAACCACTGTCAGCTGCAGAGCCCACAGGGTAGGGAACCTGTTTTTACCTAAAGGAAGCTCGAGGGTTCACGAGGGTCTGCGGAGGAGGGGCCGTTTCTTGAAAAGGCCAAGTCTGGCTCCCAATCAGACGCCTTCTTCCCCTTGTGCCAT